GCATTCTGTGTTTCTATATTTATGTATTCAAAAACTGATATTAACTCTTAATTTTAATGGTATATAATGTGTAATTTTAGGACAATTGAAGCCAGGTGTACAAATTATTGTAAATGATCTTTTAATTATAATTGACAAGTACCTTGACTAGTATACTTCGGATATACAATCCCTTATTTGGACTGGACATATTTAATGTCTTTCCCTTCTTTTTAATATTGTACTGGTCTAATTGACTAATAAATGAAATGACACTTTTATGCTGTATTTTAAATGTAGAGTACACTACCATTCTCTTAGCCAATTTGGAGTTACAAAGATGGAGTTGATTCATAAGACATGGTTTTTAATTTTTAGGGTTTTTTTTTGTTTATTTGGCCTGCTATGCTCACAAAGAAAGAAGGAGGTAAAACAAAACAAGTAAAAGAGAAATGAGCTCTAGAAAGAGACTAACTCTATCCTAGACAAAGGCCTATAATGAACAACTGGCTGGCAGAGTTTGTGAGACTAAGCTGGTCACCCATTTCCTGCCACGTTGAAGGGGCAGAGTGAATTAGCCCATTCTGTGGATGCCTCTGCATGCCAATCGGGCAGGGACAAATTAAAATTAATTAAATAAGTTTGCATGTGTCTGCAAAAGTATAGCAGCCTCATAAGATTAGTACTATCATCCTGGTAGTGAAACAATATCTTTAACATTTATTTGTAAAAAACTTTATAAAAAAACCTTGCTAACATAAACCATGATCTGAAACTGTCTTTGAATTATTCTCAGATTCTGGTTTATCAGTTCAAAATAAATCATAGTCTTTAAGAAAGTTAAATATAAAATTACACTCATAATACCACCATTGTTAAAATGTACATTAAAAAACAACAACCTTAGAATGCATTATACTTGTACCACAACAGGACTTGTTACTACTTTATGATGAATTTACATACAACATACATAGTTTGAAAAACCCAGTAACCTACTGAGTGGTGCATTAATATGATCAATAGATGCTATGAGGTAGACATTGGAAAGTGAAGACAATTGTCCTAGGATTTGCTGATTTTTATCTCCTCTTAACATCTGACTGTCCAAGTTGTGGATGAGAAGATATAGCTCCAGGGAAGCATCTGGCAAACAACAAGAAGAAAAATAAATACCAATAGTCAAGGATCAAAAATAGGATATGTACAAAATGGTTACAGGATTGGAGTCTGTATTTAGTATTTATATGAAAAAAAATGCCACTTTTTGAAATTAAAGTTTTCCCAGAACAGCTTACAAACATTTTTAAATTGCAATTAAATTTATTCTTAAAACAGTAGCTTACAATAATCTGCATTACATCTTCATTAAATTAATAACCTACATTAAACCTTCATTAGTTAAACTATATATACATTTGACATACTTGTACAATCATGATAGGATTGAGCTTTGTGATGGGCAAAGTTGAAAAGGGGAAGACCTCTGATTGGGATGAACTGAGACAGAAATCCAAGGATACCAGAACTGCAGTAAAAATCTTGGTGTATGACCCCTATCTTTTGGGGGGGTCTTGGGGATTCAAAACCTACTGCCAGACAATCTGTCATTCCAAAGCAGGAAACCCAGCATTATTTCAAAGCCTACTGGATCAAGTCCCACAATTTCTAATTTTCTACTAGATGCAATTTGACTCATCTCAGATCATCAGCAACAATATATCAAGAATTTTTAAGGGAGCAGTACACAAATTTCTAGAATGACCGCCCATGTAGTTTACCTTCTTTAAATCTTTTTAGGATGAAGTCCACCTGGTCCTGGGGGCTACGAAAGGTACCCAAGTGATTCAATACCTCTTCTGTTACAGAATTCAAAATCTGGCATGGAAAAATGGCAGGTCATCATCTTCTTTTAACACTTTATTTTTAAACATTCTTAGAAGAATTAAAGAAGAAGCTAAAAATGAATTTTTGATCATTATGTACTTCGACAAGTTCTAACATTCCTGTACTGAAAGCAAAATACAGTAGAAAAATTCTCACAAAATGGAGAAAGAGTTTTAACATAAATCACATAAAAATGCATAATAAGTGAAGGAAGATTTCATAGAGTGCAGCTTTTATAATTAGAGCCAGTTTGGGGTTGTGGTTAAAGGCACTGGATTAAAGCCAGGAGACCATGAGTTCTAATCTTGCCTTAAGGCACAGAAGCCAGGTGGGTAATTTGGGGCAATCACTATCTTAGCCCTGGGAGGAAGGTCCTAGCAAAGCCATACCCAAAAATGTTGTCAAGGAAAGTGCAGGGACTTGTCCCTGTAAGTCATCAAGAGTCAGGGTTGACTCCATGGACAATAACAACAAACTTTTATAATAACTACATACAGTCGTTTCTGTGTTTCTGTAATAGCACGTAGGAAAGACC